TTAGCCGCTCTAGTCCACTTTTCTGATTTCATAGCTTGACTAAACGTTTTTGGTTCAGTTTCAAGATTATAAGCACAAATATAAGACTGGAAAAGAGGAGTAAGTTTATCATAGGATATAGAAGAGGAAATAGGATAGGGAGTAGTCTTTTTAAGTGGTAAGATAGGAGTATTATTAAGTGGTGAAATTTCTGAAGAAGAAGATGAAGAACTGAGATTAGTAGGTAAAAGAGAAGAGCAAAAGGGAACTAGTGAACAATGATACTCAGACAAGTAAACAGGTGCTTTAGTAGCTCGTTTAGGCCTAGCAATAGGTACAGAATCAATATCTTTATCCAGTGTCTCTGTATTTTGTGTATTAATGTTGGTACCAGGTGCTAATTGTGAAGGTGATGCAGATGTAGATGCATGATTTTCAGGTAATGCAACAGGCAATTCATGATCAAGAGGCATACTTTCAACAAAATGCAATGGTGCTGGTAAAGGTAGGATACTATTTGGAAACATGTCTACTGTTTTTGATAAAGATTCACTAGTTTTAAATGGATATTCATTTTCATAGAAAACAACATTACGAGTAATGATAACAGAATGAGACTCTAAATCAAGAATTTTGTAACCTTTATAGCCTGAAGGGTACCCTAGAAAGACTCCAGGTTTAGCTCTAGGAGAGAACTTATTTCTATCATGTACATTAGTAGATGCATAACAGAGACACCCAAAGCTTTTTAAAAGAGAATAATCTGGTACCTTCTTTAGTAAAAGTTCAAAAGGAGATTTATTCTGTAAAAGAGGAGATGGTAAACGATTGATCAAATGTGCTGCAGTAAGAACACAATCACTCCAATATTGCAATGGTACATTAGACTGAAATAACAAAGATCTAGCTATATTTAACAAGTGTTGATGCTTGCGCTCAACAACAGAGTTCTGTTGAGGAGTATAAGCACATGAGAATTGATGTATCATGCCTTGTTCTTTAACAAATTCTGTAAAAGCAAGTTCTTTAGCATTATCAGATCTTATAGCTTTAATCTTTAGATTGTATTGAGTAGAAATGAGCTTAACAAAGACAGGAAAAATAGTAGAAACTTCACTTTTATTTTTCATCATATAAACCCAAGTTGTTCTAGTACAATCATCAACCAATGTTAAGAAATATCGAAAACCATCTACAGATTCAACACTAAAAGGACCCCAAACATCTAAATGAACAAGATCAAATGGACTAGAAGCTAGATTATTATGAGAAACATAAGCTAATCTTTTCTGTTTTGCCAAAGGACATATAGAACAATGCGATTTTTCAAGAGAAACAGACTTTAATGAAGGAATAATACTGACAAGTTTCTGTAATGCAGGTAATGAAGGATGTCCAAGACGCTTGTGCCATAGAAGACTATCATCTTGTACAGATCCAGTGAAAGAACTAGCTTCAGGTAATGATGGTGAGAGGGATGTGTTCTGTGTTTCAAGAATATACAGATTGTTGTAGATTTTACCCCTCCCAATCATCAAGCCCCGAGTAAGTTCCTGGATATAACAACAATTAGGATAAAAATGAGCAGAACAAGACAGAGTTTTAACAAGACAACTAACACTTATTAAATTGAAATGAAAATCAGGTACATGTAAAACATTATGCAAAATGAGTTTAGAAGTGATGCATATGGTTCCTGTGTGTGTGATAGCAACCTTAGTACCATTTGGTAATGTTACAGTGACACCAGACACAGGTATTAATTCCCTAAACATTGCTAAATCTGAACAAACGTGACTAGAAGCACCACTATCAATTATCCAAGCATCATTAGGCAAAAATTTCTGAATTGAAGAAAGTATATGATTTTGGAAAGTGAGATTATTATTCTCATATTTAAGACTAGTAGAAGGAAAAGGAATAGTACCAGAAGTGGATGTTTGTGCCATCAAACCATGATTTGTTATAGTAGCAGTAGGACTAGAGGTATTAATAGAGGTAGTCGCAGGCTCTTGAATCTGAACTTGAGCATTGAACTGAGAGATAAGATGTTGAATTTGTTCCTGAGAGAGATCTTGCAAATTTAAGTTGTTACCTCCACATGTAACCTGAGGTGTCATTGGAACAAAAGAACCATGCTCAGCATAAGCAGCATTCGCCATCTGCATTGAGTTTGAATAAGGAACCATTTGCATTGTTCCTGTTGGTATTTGAGATTGCATCAGTGCAGCTACAGGTTGTTGCATCCTAGGATAAAACTGTTGAGGGGCCTGCATTCTAGGCTGATATTGTTGAGGAAGCCTGTATGATGCAGCCGTCTTATACCCTGGAGGATAACCATGTATCTTAAAACACTTCTGCACTGTATGACCAATCTTTCCACAATTTGTACAAACCGGTTTCTGAGCTGGTCTTGCAGTATTGTAAGCTGCTATGTATCCACTCTCTCCATTTTCTATAACTTGAGATCCATTGTTATGAGCCACAGTCTGAAATGCCACATTATCTATCTTGGAAGAAGAAGGTCGGATTGCTTTCTGTCTCTCATCCTGAGTAACTATGTTGAATGCTTCCTCAATAGTTGGTATTGGCTTTAACATCAAGATATGACGACGAGTTTGCTCATAACTCTCATTTAATCCCATAAGGAACTTAGTAACATGACTCCTCTGCTGCAACTTTTCCCATTTAACCGCAGCATCACATTCACAGCGACCACAAGTACACACTGGAAGATCTACATAGTTCTTATGTTCTTCCCAAAGTGTCTGCAATTCTGTATAATAGGCACATATATCCATAGAACCTTGCTCAATCTTGCTAAGCCTTTGTTCTATATCATATACTCTAGGAGCATCATCCTGCTTAAACCTAGAAAGTAAATTCTTCCAAATTCCTTCTGCAGTTGGAATAAAAAGAAGACTCTGGCCTATTTTCTTAGACACAGAATTCATCAACCAAGTAGAAACAGTATCATTGCAACGAGACCAGGCTCCAAAATCTCGATGATCTTGTGCTGGTTTACTAATTGTTCCATCAATAAATCCCAACTTATTCCTAACATTCAAAGCCATCCAAACTGATCTTCTCCATGAATGAAATTCCGAAGCAGTATTAAGTCTATCAGAGACTAAAACCAAACCTGCGTGGTCATTTCTGTGTAGATGATACGGATTCTCGTATTGATCAGTCTGATATTGCGTTTGATCGGAATTATGAACCAGTGGCGGTGGACGGATATTCGCCGAAGCCATTTCGTAATGAAACTTGAAAGAAAGCTCAACAAAGTATAAAGAAAAGTGTAACGGAGTGAAAGAAAACAAGATCCGTCAACACAAAAGGTCAATCAAAGAGAAAGAAGAAGAATCAGAACCAAAATGAGGTTTCTGACGAACGAATTGCAAATCGCAACAATCAGAGATTGCACAAATCGAAGGAAGAAGATGACTGAAAGATTCATCTCCGATGAAGAATGCGGAAGCTCAAAAGAGTATCTCTGATACCATATTAGTAATGGGCCTAACTCAACACCCAAAAGCTAGCTCAAGGGAGGAGGTTTGCCTCATACTATATATATTGCCCAAGGATTTTATTTCTTTCCGATGTGGGACTCTAACAGTAACCAACCCTTCACACAACTATCAAGTGAAGTCGTGAACCAAGCCTAATGTTAAAATTGGAAGGGTTAGATTTTGGTTCATAACTAGAAGTCATAAAAAATTTCCTAAGCGAAAGGCTCTCTATCGCCAGTATAATGAGCCGTTATAGCTGATGTGACATATCTTTAATTCTGGTTAATTATAAAACGAAAGTCGAAATCTTTGGTTTAGACTTGTCGCAAATATTGGTGAAATTTTTTCACTAATTTTGCGTACGTCAAGATATATGTTATCATCGATTCGAGCTAGTGAATTTATGTACAGTTGCATGTTTTTTTTTTTGAAAAATTTATGTACAGTTGCATGTTGTTATTTTCAGTTCAAAAAAGAGAAAAAACAACAACTTGCACATGCAAGAGGAAATTGAATAGTACAACAAGAACTCGGATTTTTTTTTTTTTTTTTTGGTAAAAGGTGAAATTTTATACCGATTTTAGATTTGTGACAGAGATTACATAGAAAACAAGGAAGACAGAAAGACCAAAAACTACAATGAAAAATAAAATAAAACACAACAAGGAAAACACAAGCGAAAACCATCAGCGGAGGCCCAAGGAAGAAACACCGATTCCAAACCGCGAAGCTTGGACAATTGCGCGATTGCCTCAGTTCAAAAAAACTCGAGTTCTCATCGTTGTTGCCACGAGCAGACCCTATCCGAAGCAGTCCTCAAACCTCAGAACAAAGGGCCACTTACAGCTTCTCCGAGAACTAACGCAAAAAACGGAACCGCTAGAGAGGATATAATCAAACCCGGCGGCACGGGAGCACCAACGGGCAGCCAGAGAAGCCGCCTCTGGGCACTTTTCCCGAGCATGACGCATCAAGAAACAACTCCCACGGACTTGAGAACACCATCTAGACCGAACCACTTGCTGTCAAATATTGATAGATCTTCTTATTGGTTTGGTAGGTCCACTAGTGTCGTTTTCCCATTATATCTGCCATTCGCACCCATATGTCTTCAAGAAACAGACCCCATTTATAGTTTTGTGTGTGTGTCTCAACTATAGTTATTATTGAATGTGTATTTTGAGCGTCGGTACCGAGTATGTGCGTCGGTGGATCTGAATTTATACCCTACCAACAAAAAATACCAACAAAAAGACAAATAATAAACTAATGCAAAAATAAGGTGAACTCATTAAATATTCTTTATTGTTAAATATTTGGAGTATTTTAAACAAGCATTGAGATGTTGCAAAATATTCAAGCGATGTCATCAGTTTGTTCATCCTTGTAAGGCGTGTAACAAATGAACAATCTACTCAGCATCAAATGACGAATACAGTCAAGGAAATGAAAGACACTAAAGGAAACGTTGATAAGAAGATAAGAACCTCCCAGAGAGTAGCTCATGGTCTAATGTTGCATCATTTATATCGGGTATTATATTTGCCTGTTAACCCAAGCTGCCAATACGAAATTCCACACGAATACAAAAGCAAAAGTTACTCTCAAGTAATAGACACTAACATAAACAATTAGTAGCACACATCCCAGCTTATTTATATACGAAGACAAAGGCAAAAGAAGCTTATCATACTGGGATAGAATCCAAATGAGATAGTCTCTTCCCAAGCTTGCCCTCACTTCTTAAGCTCTCATCTTCTGCTAATATACGTGCAATGGTTTGATCATCATCTGTATCCGCCACACTGCTACTAAAACTCGAGTTTGAGCTCCCACTTGCTCTTGCACTTGCACTTGAACTTGCAAATGGATTCCTATTGTGTTCATCCATCGTATTCAGATTCTATACTAAATAATAACCAACCTAGGAAGCAAGACAAAAGAAGATCTCTGAGCTTTAATCTGTCAAATTGATCAAAACGAAAAAACCTTAAATCTTGAGAAGCTAGCATCAATCCAAGACATTGGTTGTCTAATTTTTTTAACTCTGAATTTTGATTTATTTTACTTTGTTACTGGTTGTCTTGAAAACTTGATTCAAAGCGGATGACAAATCACAACCAAATAAGTGTACGTCACAATTGTCACTAAGACACTTAAGCAAGACACAAAGTGGTAGCCATTAGCATTGTTAAACTCTTAAACAACAACCACAATACATAATTGATGTTCAAATTCCACAATACACTCACATCCTCAAGAACACTTAGAATTTCCAATTGTGAAAACTTTTAAAATGTAATGAGTGTAGAGAATTGAAACCAAAGAGTAAGCTAGCACAATTGCAACTCAAGAGTGAGCTCACTATGAGAATTAAAAGCCCCAAACTCCCAACAATAATTCGTCACTTTTCTAACCCATGAACCCTAGACCATCAAAACTCAATTTTCCTCAACAAATCTTGCAAATTGAACACTAACAATCCATACCCAAGGATCACAAAGTCCTAAACGAACACAAAAGTTACTAATCGAGCTCTTAATCGACCGATTTCAAGAAACTCTAATTTTTAGAAATTTATGGGAAGTTAAAGAGAATTGAGAAAATAAGAACTTACCTTGTGAATTAGGGAAAGAGATAGCTAGAAACGTGATCTTGAGGAGAAATTAAGTGAATTTGGACTTTGAATTTTGAAAAACAAGTGAGAATTGAGAGAGTTGTGTGTGTGTGAAGTGTGAGAGAGAGAAGAAGAACAAAACGGAGAAGAAGAAGAAAGAAAAAGAGAGGAAGACTCGTGGTGGGTTTTAAAATTTTTTGGTTTTTTAATTATTTTTTGGTTTTTTTTTTAAAAAAAAATAAATAAATAAATAAATAAAGAAGAAAAACTTACCTGGGGTGTGATCGGTCGATGGTGTACCCGATTGCGAAGCAGACGGCATCTCGGGTGTGGTCCAATCAACCGGTCAATCGACCGATGGGTGGGTCGATCAGAAGCTTGCTGGGCACACGGATGGGTCGTGATCGACCACAAGGTCGATTGAATATTCCTGTTGCGTGCTTCCTTACCGAGATGACTCCAAACACCGCGTTCTTTCTCCTGAAACTTCACCAACCTAATGAGAAGAAAATGCATCCTAACAAGACTAAATGCAAAGATAAATCATACATATAAAAGTAGGGTTTCACTCTCTTTTCATTGGTCCACGTGTCATTCATTTTAAAAAATAAATCAAAATTTCAAATAAATAACTGTGTAACGGAAATGTAAAAGTTAACTCCAAATAAATATGGAGATTTGAAACAATTCAAGAACAATAATGATTAAATTAATGAAAATCAGAAAATCTCATTAACTTGTTTTTCTAACGTCTAATATAAAGACCATTCACTCTAAATCATCACCTTTTATAAATGGCTCAATTTCTTTATTCGAAACACACACACAAAAAAAACTTTTGCTTCCTTCATCTCTTCACTCCACCAAACCAAATGTGTATTACTCCATTAAAAGAGCTACAAACTCAATACATGGCAAGCTAAATCTTCGTAGCTACATATTTTCCACCCAACAGAGATAAGGTACGTAACCCTTTCAATACTATGGCAAGAAAATCCAATTCTGATTACTTCAATCCCATTATCATGTCTTCACTCATCGAAATGATATTAATTTTATTTACATTCTAATATAGACACCATTTGGATGTCACGGAGTAGGCAGATTCACGGACATGTGATTTCATCACCAAAACCAAATCTGGTCAAGAAAAAAAGGTCTCTCATATTGCTTTACATAAATAAAAGAGGCCAAGCTATGAAAGTCGCACTCTTCATACCAAATAATATATTTTTATTTACATTTTCATCTTTCAATAATTTGTTTCGCTTTTTAAAAATAAAACCATTCGTACTACTCTCCTCTGCTTTACTCTTTCGTTGGACTTTAATTGAGAATTATTTAATGAGTTTGTGCTCACAATTGTGTAATGAGTTTTTCAATTTTTTATATGGTGTAATTTTTGCGTATAAAAATGGGATGGTGGACCAAATTGGGGTCAAGAAGATTCACCGGTTAAGAGGTGAAAAGTTGCAACATAGTTAAAAAAAAAAAAAAAAGAGGGTAATCCTGCTAATACAATATATTATTTTTGTAGTTCAATCCATATATGTCACACGTAAGCTATGTTTATTAAAGGTTCAATGTGTACGTATGATGGTAATATAAAGTCTATTGACGATTTTACATACATATCATATGATGGTATAAAATCAACTTATAAAGTTTACTTGGCAATTCATTTCCTAAAAATAAAAGAAAATAAAAATATTTATTTAAAATTAAACCACATATACAACACATTTAATCATATATAAATCCACACTTTAATACCAAGTTGTAACTGAAATCATAAATATTATGTATTAATTTTTTTTCATCCACTCAATGTCATTCAAACATACAATTATTATAATTGTAACTCTCATCCTACTAATACTTATTCTCTTATTTTCATCCATCATATCTAAACTAAAATCCTAAATTATTTGTTTCTTATGTTGTTACATGGGTTGAAAAATCAATCGAGACATCATTCTAAGAGTTTTGACTCTAAATTTTATTTCTCTTTGTAATTTTCATATCATAGATGATTATAACAATATCACATTATATATGATTTATCCATCCTTATATATGTATAATGAAAATCTTGATTATTATAACAATATTTTTAGATGTATCGATGGAGATTCAAAATATCAATTTCATTCATCACAATGTAGTATAACAAGGAAATCAAGTTGAAGAGATCCATCTTCATTCTCTACTTTTGATATTTGATTATTTTCTCACATGTTCATATATCTTTATAATGAAATAATTTATTGTAATATATTTAAATCGATTTTCCATACTTCTTTGTTTTATCTCAAATAATTATATGTAAACTTTTTAATATATTCATCCCTACATTTTTTATCCATTACATAATTATATAAAGATCATAATAATGTCTAATTTATTCAAGGTTTTTGGTTTTAATTTTTTCCTTTCTAAAAATTACTTCTTTCATATCTCAAATATTTGTTTTTGTAACATATTTAGTATACTCATTACTATACATTTAGTTTTTTGAGATAATCATATAAGGTATTTTATTCAAGGTTTGTGGTTTCAAATTATTTTCTAGAAAAAACAATTTCATTAAAAAGATAGAGAATACAACGTAGCAATGTAAATCCTACAAAGATGAAATCATTAAAATGAAACCTAGCTCTAGAATTTAATTGAGTGGAATTAAAAAAAAAATAGAAGTATCTTTGAAGATTATTTTTAAAGCTTTTAATTGTAGTTCATATGATTTTGTAGAAAACAGAATTAGTTTGTCACTTGCAAATTGATTTAAATTTTAACTATTAAATACTTTATGTGCGATTTTATATGAACAAACAAAATTGTAAATTTGAATATTATAGTAATAAATACATTTACGTTTTATCCAAAAATATAAAATCAAATTTAGTAACTCATACTAAATCATGATTTATAATTTGAATAGTTTTTCTATTAATTCTACAAAAATTTTAACTCTTTAAATGCATGTATTTTCTAAATGTAACTTTCACCACTACTAATTCTAGAAATAACAATGCATAAAAAAATTATACAACAAATCGCGTGGCTACATACACCTAGTGAATCAAAATGAATGAGTTTAAAACACTAAAAACACAAGATATCATGTATGAACTGATCGGGACTGCAACTCCTTGTTGATGTATGAATTGGCTGTTTTCCGTGCTTCTATCCATAACTGATTTTTCAATCAACCTTATAAATGTTGGTTGTATTTGGATTTTGATTTGGCTTTACCTTAAACCAGACAAGAAATTGTTTTTATATTCAATGTCTCTCACATCAATTTCTGCTCATTTGTTGTTTCATTGATTCATTCATTTGAATTGAAGGAAAACTGTTTTTTCTTTGGTTCAAAGTTCAAAATTCCTTTACTTCAAAAACAAGTTTCCCATAAGAACCCTAACTAGAGATGTCAGTTGGGTTATAGTAACTGATACAAACCGTTGCATAACATAAAGTTTTTGAATTACCTGAATATATAAACTGAAATAATCACAAAAGCCTTCATACTCGATCTCCTCTAACGAACTGAAATTCCATCTGCAGTCAGGTACAAAGACAAAACAAAAACATGTTACACTCTAAATCAGCAATATTTTCTAAGAAGACTGTAACCTAATGACACAACCATACATCATATGTTTCTTTGCATCAACACTATGAATCAAACAACTGATTTAGTTAATGTTCTAAGCCCACAAAAAATTGATTTTAACAAAAAAAAACACACAAGAAGGAACATCCATACCCTAAAGGCATCGTCTCCAAGGATCTTGGCATCATCCAACAGAAGCAATGCACTTGCTTCTTTTCTGTGAGCTTGGACAACAACACTCAAGAGGTAATGTCCTAGATTGAGAGGCATATCAAACCTCACAATCCAGTCCTGAAATTCAAATATGGTAAATGTTATCTCAGAACTATTTGAACATTTATTTTATAGAGCACAAACTTACCACTCCTTGAATGTGAGGACCAAGTGCCACAGCATCACTGCAGAGCAAGAAAAGACCTCCTCCATTTGTCTTGAACTCTGAAAATGCCTGAAGATTCTTCTTCAAATCCAGATTCCCGTGGATTCGCAAGCAACGCAGATCGTTATCCAAAGCTCTCATCATTTCATAATGATATTCTACAGAGCTGCAACTGGAGAAAAAAATGACCACCTTTTGGTCTGGGGACTTCTTCAGGAAGCTAACCAAAGCAGGAAGTTTCTTTTCGTTAGACACACGGCAGTAGTGTTGCAGAACCGCTGAACAAATATTGACCGCATGATAGTCTTTCAGAGTAGAGTTCTCTTCGGTTGGACCTCTATAGATACGATCTTCAATACTCAATAACTCAGGAAATACGAGAAGAGTGGCAGTGATAGGACCAAGGTGGAGAGCATTAGCGCTTCCTTCAGGAATCAATCGTTTTGATTGAACTAATAGGAGGAGTTACAAGAGTGAATAAAATATTTTGTTATGTACTTTGAGCAAAGTAAAATTATATATCAAATATAATACATAAGATAAAAACAATTTTTAAATTATAACAAAATTTTAAAATAAAGTAATATGATCAGTTTTTTCTCATCTTTAGTCGACCTCTTTTACCTTTTTACTTGAGTAGTTTTTTTCAATTCTTTTTGTTTAAATAATTTTTTGGACAATTACAAAACAATCTTTAAATTAGAACAAAATTTTAACTATCGTTTATGATAATTTTCTTCTCAGCTAACTTTTACAAGATATATTACAAATAGATGTTGGACTCATTGCTGTCAAAAAGAAATATGGACGCTATTTATAACAAATGGATCGATTTATTATTCAAAGACATTGATTACTTATCATATAATTGTTGAAAATTTTGTACAGTATATGCATACTACCGTTTTAAATCTATCTATAAATTGATTCTAAATTTATTTTATTTACCTGATTTTCTGTATAATTGGAAATTTCTGAGTCAATCACACGCTTTCTTCATGGCGACAAATATATCCTAAAATACGATCAGATTCACTGTAATGATTTTCACGGCTAATTCGGTGATCGATTTTAAAATCGTAAAGTTTCACATATATTTAAGTCGGTGATGAAAATAAACTCTTACGGAGACTAACAAATCTATTTAGGCTAATTAATTCTAATTCTTAAAATAAACTGGTCTATACCGTTAGACGATTTTGGTTTGAATTGAAATGAGTTTATTCTCTGTGATTTGAGTTTTTTTTGTCCGTTAAAACTATTAAAAAAATATTTTAAATTACAAGCTACAGATTTTTCAAATCACATGGCCTGGTAAAATCAGCTTTCAGTTCAGTTAATACGTCTCTTATTTCCGGTAACTAATTTGTCTATCGCTCTTTAAAACTACTTCTTGAAATTTTTTGTATTTCGTTTTTGAGTCATGTTTTTATTTTTACACAATAGCACCAAACATATTCCACTTTTCTACGAGATAGCTGAAAATTCTTGTATTCTGATTTTAGCCCATATATTTCTTCTTTCATCAAATTAACATTAATTGAAGAAGGGGTACAATGGTTAAAAACACATTTATATACATATTGTACACAACTGGATGGAACAAAAGTCATATCCTTATGTCGGTCTTACCTTTTAACATGGTTAATTATTATCATATAAAATTTGGAACAATCATGTGGAATTGATCTTTTACATCAAGCAACATTATAAAACTAATAAATATATGAAACAATCTAGATATTAAGGAGATGATGGCATATTACAAAAAAAAATCTAAAAGAGGATAAAAGTATCTTCTCAACAAAGGAGAAATGTACCTCTGCCGACAAAATATTGAGAGATATTTGTGAAAGTGGAGAAGGAAGTGTAGCTGTGTGTGTTGTGAATGGTCCTTTCAACTTGTAAGAAGCCAAATTATGGAGATAGTAGCCAATTGGTCAACAAAACCACTGTCCCTTTCAGGACTATCGAATTGGGATACGGGCTTCTGGCTAAGGTAAATCTCTCGCTTTCTTGTTATTTTCGATTTTTTTGGTCGGCTATTATTTTTATTTTGAGCATCTAAATATTTTTCATTTAAGTTTGAAACCTTTACAGTTTATTCAGTAATTATCAATTTTATTTTAACAACTTACAACATTTACCCAATTATAACTAATTTTAATAATGATTTTCTAAATTAGAATTGGTTTTTAAAACGTAAATTTGATTTTAACTTATGCGTCTCTAGCCAAAATTTGGAGTAATAAATAATGTAAATAGTTGAATTCTTATTGAATGTACTTTGTATTCATCTAAAATTAATAAATATATACATGGTACAATTACAATATTCTAGGGATCTACTTAAGATCCACAAATATATAAGATTAACAAATCAGATATTAGAATAGGTTGTATTCCTATAAACAATGTAGAGGGAGAATTTGTAATCTTAAAAATGAGTCTCAAAATGAAGATATAGACACTGAAGTTTCACAGCAAATGATAGTTTTGTTTAGACTAATTGAAACAAGTTATCTTCAAGTTTTTTTAAAAAAAAAGTTATCTACAAGTTAGTTAAAACAAATGACCGTCTAATTCTAACTAAATGGACACACTTTGAATTTAATTTAATTTTTTGATATAAATGTAAATGTCATTACAAATGAAAAAGTTTAGGGATTACATATATAATATAATGTCTAAGATATTTGAGACCTTGTCAAAAAAAAATTAAAAACAAGGTTGCAAATAAACGAAGAAGACACAAGAGTGAATTTATCTAATCCAAAATTGCATTAGGTTTTCAAAATGCTTTCTTTGTTTTCGAGCGGTGATGGTGTTCTGAATCTCTCTATCGATGAACTTGAAAATGATGTGATGTGGGATAGAATGCTGATTGTGTAGCACGATGTTTCGTTGCCTCCAAATGTGATAAACGGTTGAGTGAGCTGCTATCTTCCTAAGCTTTGATGGAGCCTGCAGAGAATTAATATAAGTATGTAACTGTAGATTGAACTAGGTTTTAAATTTGGTGGCACTAAATCCTTTGACTTATATTGATTTCGATTCACGAGAGTTGTTTATATATGATAAAATAAAATAAATAAATAAAAACCAAAGATGGATCTACGTCTTATTATTCTTCTTACATTATTCCATTGCAGATCTATCATAGGATTCTTACAATTACAAGTATGAGAAAAACAAATACAAGTGACGAGAGTCAAAATTTATTGCCACATTTAATGCTCAACGTGTTATAGCCTTAAATACAACGACCATTCGTTAATGATCTTAATAGTTATAACGTCGTTGTTTAAATCATCATCATATTCATAACCCTCTAGTCTATTTGCTATCATTAACGATGTTTATCCATAATATGTATTAAAATTACACACCAACGATACTAAAACATACTGTTAAGTTACAAACTCTACTTAGATACCATTATACCAATAGATGTATAACAATACATCGGTACCCAATATATTCCTCGTCTTTTTGTATTATCTCATAAAATTTTGGATATTAGTTTGACATCTCGTAGACAGGAAGACTAAGCTTTTGTAGCTGTATAATAGTACTAAATAATCAACGAACAGAAAAGGTCATATGAGCATATCTTAACGTTGATATACCCTTTTGGCTTTTGCCCATAGTTATTAAAAAGAGAAATACGTTATCTTCTAAGGGATGTCGAATTATTGGATACTTTTAACTTTAATAATTTCCTTTTGAAACTATCATTGGACACTGAAATTCCAAAACTTTACAGCTTTCTTCCTGACAAAGCTATACCATTTACTGCTATGTCAGGTCTATCGTATATGCATAATTTACATACGAATTCGAAGTTGATATAAAGTATTATTAGTTTTGATAAAAAGTTGTATTCCATTTTTTGAATGCCTAATTTCGTTTTTTTAAATGCATGGACTAGTTGTTTTATAGAGTTGGACGCATATTGCATATTCGATTTTTTGCTATAATAAATATTATTTGTATATTTTCATTATTTATAGAGCGGATGACTGAAATGAATTGAATAGAGTTTAATATTCGGATTTTGGAGAATATATTAGATATGTCTTGTTTATCATGCTTTTTAAAGGTTTCAAAAAGCTTATAATATGTTTTCCAAGAGTCATTGCCTTTTTTTGAATTTGTAATTGGTTTTATTTTAATTGTTTGGGAGAGAACAACAAGTCAACAACTATGCTAGCAAAAAAAAAACCTTATTTGAATATTGTTATACTAAAATAACTTACGACAATATAACATTACTAAATTAACTTATATCATCAAATATTGGTTAATTACTATAGTTTTGTAATTATCAAAATATTTTTTGTACCTCTATTATCCTTCTCTTGCATTATTAAAACATAAATATTTACAAATTGCTATATCTTTGTCTGTTCCTCAAATAATCTTTTTTCATTTACGTAAAATTATTTTATATTATGAAAAAAAATTCATATATATATATATATATATATTTGTCAAAATTTCCATAAATATGTAGGGGCTAAATCACACTTATTAACTCGAACAATTGCTGTAATAATGGCTCTTTTGAGAGGTATGCATAATGTGTTAAATATTGGTTTTGTTGCTTTTGCATTATGAGGTGAGTCTGAATTATGCTATTTTTAGTTCAGCTACTTTTGAGATACGAACAAAAAATTATTCCCTCTGTTTCAAAATATTAGATGTTTTGGATAAAAACATAATTTTTAAAAAGCTAATTAATCTTGAGATCTTTACATTAAAAACATAAATTAATATCTATTTAAACCATTTGACCACTGATATAATTTACTGCAGAATATAAATAGTCAAAAAACTGTTTAATTTAATAGTTTGCATAGAAACTTTAATTTTTTCTTCAAGACATCATATATTGTGAAACAAAAAAAAAAGTCTAAAACATCCTATAATATGAAATAGAGGGAGTAATATTTAGGTGTTGTATCTACTTGGTACTTAATAGTTAGAATTTACTTCAAGTATAAACTTTTTGTCTTTGATATAAAAAGACAAGTGATAAACCTTAGTTTCTTGATAAAGACAAGTGATAAACCTTAGTTAACACATACATGAAACTGATTATCAAAAAAATAAAAAATACATGTAGTATATTTAGAATATTTTAAAAGATATCACCTAATTTAAAATCGTAAAGGAAAACGATCCAAATCATTCACACAGTGTAACCGTACCGACAAAGAGTTCCGTTTTCAACTAGAAAAGCCTTCGAGAGAGCGACAAAGATAAGAGGAGAGACTCCGAGTCTTTGCCAAATCGCTTTCCAATTAATAAGTAACGAATTTCAATCTTAATTCTCAAAATATGTCTGAGACCACCGACACTTCAAAAAAAACCATATTGCCAACAAAAACCACCGAGTCTTTCCAATAGCTAAATAAGTTGACTTTTTTTTGTTTTCTGTTTTTTTTTTTCACAACTAATTAAGCTGGATATTACAAAGAAAAATATGTTCTTACTCCATCTGATCAGATTTTAAAATTTTGAAAATATTTAGCCAATATCTCCATGTCAAAAATCTATTGAAAATCATCATATAGTTCTCCAAATAGTAACTAAACATATTTAACCTTTCTATTTACTTATGTACTCTCTCCATTTCTTTTTCGTAACTTGCAAAAGGAAAGAAAAATAAATAATAGGACAATGGATGTGGGTTGCATAAATAAATAAATCTACTTTGTAAAAAATATTCCAACTGTATATTTCTATATAATTAATTTATTTTAAAAGGTTTTTCGGGGGTATATGATATATCCCAAAACATTAAAACTTCCTATAAAATGTAGACTTGATTTAGACAAGCAAGATATTTTCTAAACCGTGTATGAAGTTTTTTTGTAAAAGAAT